TGTCAAAAATTAAAAACAGCTTTCAAAAAGCCTTACCCTTTTTTTTTTTTCCTGAAATGACTTTGGATCATATATATGTATATAGACTTTTCCCCTCCCCCGCAAAACTAAAAGTATATAAACCAGAAATTTAACAGTGATTATTCTGAGATCGGAGAATGTTTTCTTCTTTTTTCTTTTCTATATCTCCCAATTTTTCTACAGTTTTTTCCTACAATTTTTCTACTGAAAAGCAGGAAAAACAGAAAAAAACACTTTTAATGATTACTTTTTAGTTTAATTTGAATGAAATCTTTCCTAGGGTTGAGTCAAGGTGTTTTCCTCAGTTGAGAGAATGGACTTTGTTAAGCATTAGCAGTTCATAATTCTTCTTCCTTGACAAACGATGAATAACGTGTGGTTACTTTAACACCGTGTTTCACTATGTTGGAAAACGAAACCGGGCCCAGATTTCTTTAGAATGAATGTAAATTCTACAAAAGCAGTAATTTAATTTTCTAACTCACTTTAATGTCCCTTCGACATCATTAGTATAATCACAATCCTCACTTTCTTTGAGAGCAGCGAACCAACTAATTCTTTAAAACTGGGCCTCGATTTTAAAAGGCTCCCAAACCTTGAGATAGTTGGCTGGGCAAAGTCAACATGTGACTATTTGAATTTCTAAACTAAAGGGTCCACAGAGTGTTAGGATTCTTTCTTCTGTTCTTATTTTGTAAAGGAATCTTTATTCCAACTCAGATTCATTTTTCTTCAAATCAGCTGCAAGAGAGTGAACAAACTTTGCTGCAAATCAATGCCCTGACAGTTATATTTCCCTGAGATAATTGCGTACTGCTTTGGAGTTTCCTTTTCCCCTCTGTTTCCTTTTGTTTTGACAACAAGATTCTGGGAAAACAATATACAAATGATAACTATGCTGTCATGAGTATACTGAATTTTAAAAATAAATAACTGTCGACCCCAAAAGCTTCCAGGAGCCTATGGAGTGAATTCTTTTTCCAAACTGTTCTCAAACCAGATGTGGAAATGTTTAGCTAATCCCCTCCCCATTCCCCACGCAAAGAGTTCATATGTGTCTCTAACGACATCAGAGGAGATGAAGAGGCAACAATCTGTCTGCTTTCAAGGAGATTTGTGTTACACGTCTCAACTCACTCACCAACATCACAAAACTAATTTACTTCTCTCTTAAAAAGTCTTTTTTTTTCCTGAGATTAAAAATGCTCTGTGTTTAGACCAATATTCAATCTCTTTCTTGTAAGACATTAAGAAGTAGAGTTCATATTCCCAGAATGAAACGTTTCATGTTTTGTTTTTTTTAAAAAACGTAAAGAATGTATTAAGAATTAGGCTTATTAGGGAATTTTTTTTTAAGGGGAAGGAGGAAAACTTTAAAAAAAACTAATGGAAAATGTATATGCATAAACCACATTTAGAAAAACAGAAAGCTACTGTACTCTGTAGCTGCAAGGAAAGCAAACATTTTGCATCCAGGTGTCATTAGCAGCTCTGGTTTCGCTGGCTTCCCTATAGCTCAGTTCAGGACTGTAGGTACCAATAGCCCTGCTTGGCTATACAAAGGCATCGAAGTTATGAGCTTTGCAAGGATAATTTGCAATCAGGCCAAAATGGGGCTATGGTAATGCAAACCCTGAGACCTGCTTTCTAACAGCCCAGCTGCCTCTGGGAAGCCCGACAGTAGTCCCAGGGTGAGCGCTCCCTTCTCTGCAGTTATTTCTTCCCCAGTCCTCAACTCCCTCAGCTCCAGGATGCTGGGCTCAGCCCCAACTATGGCTAAAAATACCTCCAGTTTGGCGCAGACTGCACAACCCTCTCTTCTGGCGCCCCCTTCCCATCTCTAGCCCCTCAGCCCTCTTTCTCAGAGCCAACCCTCTCCCTCCCCATCCAAGTCCAAGGTCCTATTCTGCCAACACATCTCAGCTGGATGTTAGAAAAGCCAGCTGATTTGATGAGTTTACACTGTGTTGTGAATGACTTATAACCATCCCTCAACACACACCCACACACACACACCCACACACACCCTCTACCTTTCCCTGGGAATTCAGGCAGCAGGGAAGGGAGGCTGCCCAGTTCTGACAACCTGTGCTCAGCAAAAGGGAGCAACTCCCCAAGAGTGGCATTGAGCTAGGAGTTAGCAAGCTCATTAGAAAGTGCATTCTGCTCTCCCCTGATCTCCCAACTCCTCCCTCCCACCTTAGAGATGCAGTCTTAAACCTGGGTCCCACTGACTTCATTTTTCAGTTTTATCTGAGCTCAAAGGTATGTTGTCACACACACTTACTGCTCCAATCTTGTGGCAATCTCTCCCTGGCTACGAGAAAATCAGAGGAAACCGATTCTGTACTGAGTTTGGAGATTTGTGCTAAATAAACCCCCAAACTCAGTGATGTTACTAAAGCACTTCCTTCAAGACTGATTCAGGGCTGCCCTGGTGGCGCAGTGGTTAAGAATCTGTCTGCCAATGTAGGGGACACGGGTTCGAGCCCTGGTCTGATCCCACATGCCGCGGAGCAACTAAGCCCGTGAGGCACAACTACTGAGCCTGCGCGTCTAGAGCCTGTGCTCCGCAATAAGAGAAGCCACCGCAATGAGAGGCCCGCGCACCGCAATGAAGAGTAGCCCCCGCTCGCCACAACTAGAGAAAGCCCACGCACAGAAACGAAAACCCAACACAGCCAAAACTAACTAAATAAATCAATAAATTTATATATATATATATTTTATATATAAGTTATATATATATATATATATATATATATATATATAAAAGACTGATTCAGTGCAATGTAATTCAAAAAGTGGGTGTGAGAGTGGGAGTGAGGCAGTCTAAAATGATTCGTTGGGTGACAACTGTAATGTTTCTCAGAGAATTTGGGCTTTTTATCATTCTCTTTGGATTAACCGTGAGAAGGAGGAGGAGAGACAATAGGAAAGATGACCGAGGGATGGAGAGGAAGTACATGGCTAACTCCCTGCACAGGAGCACACCCTTAAACTTGGTGTCAGTTCTGGGGTTTGAACAACAAAACTGGAGTGGAAGGATTGTTTCCCTGACCTATTCCAGGAACTACTTAAAGGGGAGGTTTTTGTTCAGGGCAAATAGGTCCAGGCTGTGAGATCATGTGAAGGAAGGAGGAAAGAGGGAGAGAGAGGCAGAGAAAGGCACTCGTAAAGCAAGCTCAGGGCAAGGTGGTCTTCCTGAGACCAAGGCAATAGTGCAGCAGCGATGGAGTGATGATCTCAGCTTCCAGAAGGAACCTCAGCAAATATGCATCATTCCAGAGCAAGCGGTTTCTTTATTTAACTGTTGAGTCATTATCCAAGACCAGCTGGCATCCGAATTAATTCGGGTTTTGTTGCTGTTGTCGTCATCATCGTATTTTGTTTGGTTGGTTTTTTGGAGGGGTAAGAGGGCTGGGTTTTTCGGTTTGTTGCTGCTGCTGCTGTTTTTCTGTTATTTTATTTATTTTTTTTTTTTTTTTTTGCTTCGTGAAAAACAAAAAAGCAGTCCTAAGAGAGCCATTTCAGAACAAAGAGGCAAGGAAGGAGCCGGGGAGACCTCTTAGGCTTCTCTTTACACCTCAACATCCCCAAGAGAATGAGGAGTCAGTAAGGAGAGCGGGAGAGACAGGGGTACCAAGCAGATCAAGTGCTGATGTGAAAACAAAGCACTTCATCCAGGCCACTGCACCTGGCTAGTGGGCTCCTCCGCCATGGTTTCCATTAAAGAGTGCAGGAAATTCATCAGTATCAAAGGAAGAGAAAGAGCTACATTTTTGCAACTGAGGAAGACGGGAGGAAAGAACTGTCTTGGGATGCTTTTTATTTAGCACAGTGCTGGGCACATAGTAGACGCTCAATAAATATTAGTCAAAGAATGAATTCATTTTACACAAGGATTACTTAATTCAGCAGGGAACAAGAGTAAAACCCTGCATAGACATTTCCTTTGAAATTTTAGGCACTTTTCTATTTGATTTATTTCATTTTCACTTTTAAAATGAAAACTGAGTTGAACAATATTTGATGATATTCCTGTTCCTTCTTCCTTTGTGTGTACCCCTTCTGAAACTGTTTTAGACACTTGTTCTTAGCATGACTCTTTTTTCCTCCATACTGCTCTGCCTGTCACTCTGCAATCTTGCTATTTTGCGAGGTCATGATGGCTGTTGGTCATAATGGCTTACGATGCTACTGCTGGCATTTATGAAGCATTCATTTGATCATTTTAAGTGAGCCACTTGGCAAAATTTCAATATCTGGATGTTGGGAATAAACCACAATTTCTTGGTAGGTTTTCATTTAATTAAATCTGTTGATAACCAAAAGAAGAAGGCAATAGAGAAGGGTTCATTAGTATGGTCTATGGGAGGACACTGGGGCCTTCAGGAGGAAAGTGCTGTCAGTTTGAATTAGACTGTTATCTCCTGTCACCTTATTTAATGTTTGGCATGAAAACTGTTTTGTTTTCTTTTTGGCTGGGGTTGCACACAAAGGAATGCTACTCCAGATCGGCGTAGACTCTCATTCTGTATGTGACGGATTTGTGTTTTATACCAAAACAATATGGTAAAGTCACTTAAAGAAGCCATTGTAGTCATCTAGAAACACATGAGTTCCAACAATGACATCAAAATTCAGTTCTCTTTCACAGGGATCTTTTCCTTTGCTTTTTATTCTTTTTTTTTCAGTTTTATTGAGGTATAATTGACAAGTAAACTTGGAAGGGATTTAAAGTATACAGCGTGCTGATTTGACATACGTTTACACTGTGAAAAAATTTCCCCCATCAGGTTAATTAACACATCCCTCACTTCACATGTTTACCTTTTTTCTTTTTAGTGAGAACATTTAAGTTCTACTCTCTTAGCTTCTTTTTTTTAATGCTTTAGGAATGGTCTTTTGTTTTTAAAAAATGATCGTGTTTGAACTTTCAATAGGAAATAAGACGATTTTCCTTTTGTGTTTCTTTGTGCTCTAGAACTCCTCACCAGACAGTTTCCTGTTTCCTGAGAGTCATTACCTGATCCGCTACCGGGATGAAAGTTTTCAACTTGATAGGAGGGCTAGTCTTCCTCACCTCTGTGTTTTCGGCCTGTTCGGGAGAAAATCCGATAACTGTACTGTGCTCCATAGACTGGTTCATGGTCACCGTACACCCCTACATGTTGAACAATGACGTATATGTGCACTTTCATGAGTTACACTTGGGACTGGGTTGCCCTGCCAACCATGTTCAGCCCTATGCCTACCAGTTCACCTACCGTGTCGCAGAATGTGGCATCACGGCCAAGGCAGTCTCTCAGGACGTGGTTCTCTACAGAACCGAGCTGCACTATGCTCCCAAGCATACGTCGTCTAAGTACGTGATCCCAGTGTCCTGCACTGCCCCCCAACGTTCCCCGTGGTTCACGATGCCCTGCTCCAGGGAAGTAGCCAGCGAGGGAGCCATCACAACCCGGGATGGTGAGACATGCTATGAGGTGTTCACCTCGTCACAGTCCAGCCAAAGGCCCAACCATGATTGTCCGCCTTGTGTCTTCAACGAGGAAGGGCAGACGCAGGGCCCACATCACCAAGCAGAGGCTTAGGAGGCCCATCCATGCAGTCTTCTTCCTCTGTTAATACTTCTGAGAAATGGTGTCTCCGTCTGGATGATCAGATTGCGTCCACGTGATCCTTAGGTTTGGGGTCTCCAGTTGACGCTCTTCCTACAATTGGTATATAATATTTACTAATATCAGACAAATACGTGCTCTTGTGGCCTTCTTATGCGTGCTTTTCAAAAAGAGCAGCCCATGGTAATTCCATGAACAAAGGTGTTTTCTATTTTTGTATCTTTTTTTCCCCCTTTGTTGGCCGTGCCACCCGGCATGTGGGATCTTAGTTCCCCGACCAGGGATCGAACCCACGCCCCCTGCAGTGGAAGCTCGGAGTCTTAACCACTGGACCGCCAGGGAAGTCCTGATGGCATAAAAATATCAGTTGGGTGTTTTTATTTCATAAACACACACATAGCTTTTACTATGGGCCAGACACTCTTCTAAGTGCTTTACCAACATTAGTGTCTGGTCCCTTCTCTAGGATGACTTCTCTCTCCTTTAAGGTCCCCCAGCTGAATCCCTCCGTCCGTCTACCCATATCCCTGAGACTCTACACTACTCAACTTAGCACTTAGCCACATAATTTCTTAGTTTGATCCATCACTTTTCTGTATCACTTTTCTGCCTACCACGGAAGGCAGAATTTGCACTAGTGATTTATAATCCACCAGTTGTTCTAGGAATCACTCAACTCACATCCCACCAACTAGATGGTAAGCTCCTGAGGCCAGGGGCTAGGTCTTATACTTAGCCATAGACTGATAGCACTCTGCAAAGAGTTTTGTCCCCCGACTTATGTGATCAGAAAATTTTCACCCAAGTCTAGCTATCCATTGCTGTTCTCAAAGACTCGGAAAGGGAAGGTAAGTCAGTTCATTCAACAAATATTCACTGGGCGCTACTATATTCTAGCCACTGAGGATATGGCAGTGAATAGAAACTGAGGCTCAGAGAAATCAAGGTCACACAGCTAGTAAACAAATACATAAGTACACAAAGAGAAAATCAGACAGCGACAAATGCCATGACGAGCTTAAAACAAAGCGATATGAGAGAAATTGGAGAAGGAGTCAGAGTGGTCAGGGAAAGCTGCTGTGAATTTGCCATTTGAACTGAATCTTGAATGTGAAAAAGGAGCCAGCCCTGGGCTGATCTGAGAGAGGCCATTCCAAATAGTAGAAGCATCTCATTGAATCCTCACTACAGCCCTGGGAGAAATACTCTTACTATAGCCATTTCACAAATAAGGAAACTGAGTCACGGAATGATTAAGAAACTTGCCCAAGGTCACACATTTGTTAAGAAGCAGACAATGTTAGCACAACGTACATGATAATATACACAAAGGATTGTAGTAGACATTAGTAATTTAGTCATTGTCTTAGTCTGTTTGGGCTGCTGTAACAAAGTACCAGAGACTAGGTGGCTTATAGACAACAGAAATTTATTTCTCATGATTCTGGGAGCTAGAAATTCGAGAGCAAGGAGCCAGTATGGTCAGGTTATGGTGAGGGCCCTCTTCCAGGTTGCAGACTACATGTGTCCTCACATGATGGATAGAAAGCAAAAGAGGTCTCTGGGGCCTCTTTTATAAGGGCACTCATCCCATTCATGAGGGCTCCACCCTCATGACCTAATCACCTCCCAAGGGCCACACCTCCTAATACTATCACATTGGGCGGTTAGGATTTCAACATAGAAATTGGGGGGAGGGGCACAAACATCCAGTCTATTGCAGTCATGATAGTTGAAGAAGCACAGCTGTTCATTTAAAAATCTCATGCCCCTTCTTGAGGAAAACTAGGTAATAATCCCTGAAAACAACGTATTCATTCAACAAACATTTATTGCGCTCATCCTACGTTCCAGGCATTATGTTAGATGCTGAGCATGCAATGGTGAACGAGACTAACATGGTCTAATCAGGAAGAGACAAGTAAACAAGCCTAGGGAGCTAGAGGCTATTCTAGCCCAGAGAATGGGCCTGTTCAGAGACCTGAGGACTGGGGCTGCAGCCATCAGAGAAACCACAAGTAGTTTAATCCAATACAATTGGGATGGGGGGCAGTTGACAGTGGTGAGAGATGGGGCTAGAGAAGTAGCAGTAAACAAGACTGTACAAGAGAACGAGCACTGCCCTTCCCCATCTTCTCTTCAGAAGCTTATGGATTATTAAACACTAAAACACGTATAAGTAACTTAGCAAACAATCAATACTAGACATAATAGACCTGGACTACCATGTGCAAGTTGTGCACTTGACAACTGCAAGGCGCAGTATTCATGGAGACACCCCCCTGGGGTTGTGCAACATATCAGCCTTAGAGGAGACTCAAGACCTACATGGTAATGATAGTTGTTATCACGTGCCAGACACATTATATACATGACTTTATTTAATTCTCACAACAGCTCTGCAAGATAGAAATTATTTTCTCTGTTTTATAGACGAGGAAACTGAGGCTCAGAGAAATTGAGGCCAGACAGTTAATACGTAACATCACTGGGATTCAAACCCAGGTTGGACTAGCTCCAAAATGCACTTTCCTCCCCTACACTCAACACTCCCTCCCAGAGAAGAGACGTTTCCAGTTGGGTTGGAAGATCCAGGAAGATTTCCTGGTAGAGGGGGGCAGTGATCTCACTCTTAGAAGATGAGGAGGAGCTGTCTAAGCAGAGAAGAGGAAGATGGGCATCCTCTGTGAGCGTAAGTACTGGCACAGGGCGTGGAAGTGCACTGTTGATGGGAGGACACCTAGGGGGTTAGCGCTCTAAGCTAGGTGAGAAGAGATGAGAAGAGCAGATGGGGGAAGGCGTAGAAGTGTAGGAAGAGATGAAAATGAGAATAATTTCAAGTGAAGAACAAGACTTCATTCATTTTAGCCTATACAATTGTTAAATGTCTATAGAAACCCCATTCCTGGTCAAGAGATAAACTGAGTCGTGCAAGCAAATTTGGAGTGTGAAAGACTCCAGCCCCTAGAGCAGAGAGGACAGGCTTCATGGAGGGCATGAGACTGGAGCTAAGTCCTGATCTGTCTGACAGGATATACGTGAAAAAGAAGAGATTGAATCAAAGAAGTTGTCACCATTTAGAGCCCTAGAAGCTCAGAACACATGGTCAGTTCTGGCTTTAAGTAAGGAAACTGCAATGAGGGTAGAGGATAGGGGTGAAGATGAGTCCAGGTTGGACATGTTGAGCTGGAGTTGATAGTGTCATCCAGGTGAATATGTCCAGGAATTAGCTTAAGAAATTGAACTTCATTGAGCTGGAGCTCAAGTAAGGGGCGTAAGAGGCAATTACTGGGAGATAAAGCCTTGGAAAGATGACATGAGTCAAGGCAATTAGGACCAGAGAATCAAAATTCCCTAACATTCAATCTTCAAGGCACGGTTACGAAAAAAAGAAGAGACATCAAAGGAGACAGAAGGGAAGTGATCAAGAGATGGAAGAAATATGACTCGTGGGATTCTAGTTGGGGGAGAGCTGGGTGGGCTAGATTTTCCAGTGCAACAGACAAGTCAAGATGGAGTAAGCCTAGGCATCATGGAATTGGGGACCTTTGAACTAGACCTTAAATAAGAGAGAGAATTTCATCAGATGAAGATGAAGGGCAAGGGCATTCTAGGCAAAGGAAACAGCAAGAACAAAGATGCAAAGCAATATGTGGTCGAGAATCATATTTTGCCTGGGTAAACATCTCAGTATAGTTAGGCATAATTTTTTTCAGCATTCAAGAGTAATCCGCACTTGACTTGGACGTGTCATTACTCAGTAAAAGTGTACTTCAACCATTTCACTTCCATGTTTGATCTTCTCCACTTGATCATGTGCTTCCTGAGCATGGGAGACCCTCTCCTATTTGCTTGTTTGTTCCTTTGTGTTGCCTTTCTCTTATATAGTACTTGTTGAAGGTATTCAGTAGGTGCTCAAGCCAGTCGACTGATTGGTACTGAGAAAGGGCCTGGGAGTTCATAAGCATAGGAACCACTCAAAAGATGGGAAGATAAAAATGCTTTAAGAGGAAACTGTATTTTGAGTTGGTTAATTTATTTACCTTTTGAAATGCCACTCTGAAAGAGTATTTTCCCCCTTTATTGTGGTAATGTTCATGCCATTTTCTTTTAGACAATTTATTTAATTTTGGCTGTGTTGGGTCTTCGTTTCTGTGCGAGGGCTTTCTCTAGTTGTGGCAAGCGGGGGCCACTCTTCATCGCGGTGCACGGGCCTCTCACTATCGCGGCCTCTCTTGTTGCGGAGCACAGGCTCCAGACGCGCAGGCTCAGTAGTTGTGGCTCACGGGCCTAGTTGCTCCGCGGCATGTGGGATCCTCCCAGACCAGGGCTCGAACCCGTGTCCCCTGCATTAGCAGGCAGATTCTCAACCACTGCGCCACCAGGGAAGCCCCATGCCATTTTTAAAGTGATATGATTTATAAAAATCTACCACATAGTGTCAATTATATTTGTGATAATAAGAAATGCTTTATTGCCCTCAAAAGAAACGGGCATTTTCACCTTTCTTTCAAGCTCTGGGAGAGCCAAAAATGTCTGAAACCATTTGCTATGATAACTGCTTGTCAAATATTTAAAAATTAGAGCCATAATGTGATTTTTCACTGATAAAAGGAGACTCAAAGTAACATTAAAAATTTTTATTCCTATACCCTGAAAACAGCAAACCAGGTTTTAAAAAAAATTGTGTAAAGTATATATAAATGTCAAGGGCAAAAAGTCTTTTATCCCTAGTTTTCACCAATAGGCTATTTTGGAAATACATGTAAGTACCTCCATCCCTCCATTCCTCCACCAATAATGAAAGCCTGGTCAACCATTAAACTAAACACAGTGTGTTCTCTCTCTCACACACACACAGGCACACACACCATGTTTATAAGAAATACATTATCAAGGAACAAGTGTTTATTATAAAGGGAAGGCTAACCTACACAGTAACATCCTTTAATTCTTTTTCTCTCTTTTCTTTAAATCTAATTAGTATTAATCCCTATGATTGATCTCTATG